TCATACGAAGGTCCTGAAGGCCCACGTGAAGGCGGCAGCGTCTCTGCGCAGGTCTTGTGGACATGTAATTTCCATTTCTGTCCAATTTTCCCGGAAAAGTTGTCCATCATTACGAATATAAAAACAATTAAATTGACAGGCTGGTGTTATGATATTCAGATGAAGTCCTGCAATGCATTTTCATGAAGTCAGCGTGAGACCGGGCGTAACGCCCATTCTCCCGTCGACAATTGATATTCAAATTTAACAACTTTTAATTGCAATTATGATAATGAATCTATAGTGCTCGGGAATTTATCATCTGGGCTTGGCCGCTACCTCGTTCCAAATTTATGGAGAAAAGAACCCGATGAAAAGTGCATGACGTTAAGAAAAAACCCCACGAGCTCTGATAGTTATCATCAAGATTGAGTTCTCGTGAGAGGGAAATTACGCGGTGAAGAGAATTTCAATAAAATTACCATGAAAATGACGGAAAAATTGCGCTCACAAGGACAGACCGCGGCGAAAAAATATTCATTGAAAATCGTCAAACATTATGAAATCTTAATAATTTACTCAACGTCTTAAATTACTATATTTTTAACAAGTGAAGAAATCATTCTATCACCTGTCCATTTTTTCGACAATAATTGATAAAAAAAGAAATTAATTAAAAAATCTAAATTTCTCACGGATTTTTTCTCTTCATGGCGTACATGAGGCTGCGCGCGCCTGCCAAAGTATTTGCAAATTATTATCTCCTATCTTTAATTGAATGACAGAATCAAAAATCACCAGATAATTAGTATCACGTTGTATATCGATATTTAAACAATGTAATAATCTATAAAAAAACAAGTGATAATTGAAATTTTATCGAAATTTTTAAAACTAATATCCGCGGACTTTCTTTTAATATATAAGAAATCGAGAAATAATTATTCCTTTCTCAATACTTTCTGGGGCTTGTGTCTGACGTGCCTGAACCTGATTCTCCTATAAGGAATATATCTGATACGATGCTGTCGGTTGAATAACGGCGTAACCACATTAGCCGAGAGTCTGATGGGAAGGTTACACGGAGCAGTTAGGGTTGTTACTAACTCGCTCAGTAGTTATGCCGTAGTTTATTAATATTGTTAAGTACCGGTGGTTAATTGATCGTGGAAACTGGGGATGGGATTACGATAGGTGGTGAAGTCGATGGCGGTGGATCAGACCGAGGAAAACATATTTGGCTTGCGAGGGGGTGTTGGGGGGGTAAATGGGGGTGGGAGATTAAGGTGGAGGTAATAAAGTGGTGGGTGGTTTACCACTGATGGTTAGTTGACTCGTTCGTTAAGTCTCCCAACACCGGATTTACCGGTATTATCTCGTTTTTACAAATTATTCATTCATTACTCACATGTGATACGTCAACTTAACTTTTTCGAATTTAATTATCCCTCAGTAATTATCCTAGAAAAAAAAATAATATTCCAGAATTCTCCGGAATTTTATGGGAAAACCGCAACGTTTTTAATTATTCATCCATTTTAATCGACTTTTCCTGCGTTCTTTAGAGATTTCCTATGATATTTATAATTGTTATGGTTATTTTTATTAAAATTTTTTTCGCCAATTGATTAACATGATTATAAAATGAAGTAGAAAATAAATCCACTGGTTTTTATCGTGATAAAATGGATAGATCATGACTCCAAATAAGTCAGACACATGATTTTATTGTCTCGACAAAAATAGTGATGTGTTGTATTTTATTACTCGTGTATTCACCGAATTATTATGAATATTCATTTCTGCTGAATGAGGCATTTATTGAGGTCATAAAGTCGACAATATTCCTACGAAATATTCGACATTAAATGCTCGTTGTGAACACCAAAAAACGTTCTGCTGACAATAGGGGACTTTGTTGATGAAAACTATTCATCGTAAGGTGTAATGAGTCCCGAATAATAATTTATATTGAAATATTAAATGAAAACGATGTGCGCGTGGTTAATCCATCCGAAACCGCGGATCATCCGTGGAAAGTTCCTCATTATCTCGTGTATTCCACTCGAACAATTGTGCATTTATCACTTATAAAACCGGTCTATTGAGAAGTTCCATTCAATTTTATGGAAAGTCCCTGGAACTCTCCGGCAATCGATGAATCGAAAGAGTTTCTCGATAGAAAAAAAATTGAAAAAACTTATTCCCTCTTTAAACAACTCCAATATTCATTCCTCATTTTCCAAGAATACAATCGCATAAATAATATCTGAAAATAAAATCCTACATAAATATTGATAAAAAATTGGAATAGGGAATTTTTAATAATAAATTTTTCTCTCAGCGAAGTGGTGAATGTTTGGGGCATTGATTTTTAGATTAAAAATAATTAGTTTCCGTGTTTCGTGCTTTGAGTTTGATAACGACATTCTAATTTTCTGTAATAAAGAAACCAAGAAAGAGCAGTTCTCCTTTAATGGTATTTCCTGGTTTGCAATAGGCGTGTGCATTCGCTTTTCCGTAAGTTCACAAACACAACTTATAGTGTTTCGTGTTGTCGACAATTTCTAATGTAACGCGGTACTGCAAAGTGGAGCAGTAATCTACAGCTTGTGAAATTAATAGGTAAACGACACCCACTGCAGAGTAATCTTGAAACCCGGTGAAAAAAATAAAAATGGAGAAGGAACGAATAAAAGTACTCGAGATTAAAGCAAAACCTCTTTCTATTTATTTATTTTTTTTCTCAAAAATTGTTTGGTCTCTGGTTTGGTCGCTCTTTTTTATAAGCTCACTCAGACATAATACCTACAGTTATAGTTTTTCTCATCTGTTAAGCCGTATTATAAAATTTATTTTATTCCGTCTGAAGTTTTAAAGCAAATCGGCTTAGAAAAATTGTACTTTTGGTCTCATTTACTATTCTACATCAGAGGGACCAACAAAATACGCCTGATAACGAGCAAAAGTTGGGAAATATCGTGGATGACGTGTGAAATATTACCAAGGAGATTTCACACGTCAAATCATCCATACTTTAAATAAAAAAATACCTGACAGCTAAATTTTCTCTAGAGTGAAGTGTCTTTTGAATTTTAAGATGAGGAACAGAAAAACTTGGGAAAATTTACATGACGTCAATTGAACCATAAATTTTTCATTTATAAAATTGATTTATTAAAATCAATCTATTTATTCATGTTTTGAGGGTTGAAAAAAATGGACAATTAAATTAATGAATAATTGATCAAATTGCAAGTTTCCCATGAAATTGGGATCTGACAGAAATTTTAATTATTTCACTTGAGTATTCCATAAAATCGTCATTACTTTAATGAATTATTTCATTATAAAAAGCATTTGAGGGTTGATATTTCGGGAAGTGGTGATTTTTTAAAAAGAAACGTCATCTCTTGATGAGAAACTCCTTCTGTCCGATCAAATTTGTTCGAGCAAATTGAATCGCTCTTTTCCCTCGTCCACCAACTCCTCCCCTCGCGTCTCTTTACGCCCCCCCTTCCCCACCCCCTCACCACCCACCTAGCTCCACTGTCCGCAATTTGCCTTTTTACACCGGCCAACACGAGTATATATGCATTTTCGTTGAAACTCTCATTCAGCACGAACCGTTCACCGTTCTGACACCCCAGCAGTAGTTAATCAACGAACACTAATAACTATGAGCCCAGCACCAAGTGATTCTGAATAGAAAATTGAATGAAATTCACGGATGAGTTTATTAGCTCAGAAATCGGTGATGGTGGATTGCTTTTCAATTTATGAAGTTTCAGGGAGGAAAAAAAAAGCTCGTGGAGTTTCACTCGGTTTCAGGGCTTTTTCTGCGTCTCATTTTTTTTTATGTCAAGGTGAAATTGTAGATGGGGATATTGGATAACTTTCTGAAATTGCGATTGCCAATTGCGCGGGGTACGTGACGAGGGAAACCATTCCAACTTACGTCGAAGCCCGCGATGATTTACATTTTCGGGAGTTGGTTAACGTCGATGTTGGGTTTTTCAATGCACATTTGAAGTGTTTCATTTCGGGGGTGTGGGAATTTCTGGGAGAATTTGGGAAAATTAAACGGCTCCATTTATGGGTGCACGGGATATTGTTGGATTAATTAATATTTTTCATCAAGTATCCAGTGATTTTGTATTTATTCGATTGCCGTTTGATGTTAAAACTTTTGGAGAAGTCGAAAAAAGAGAAATCAGAAGAAATTGAGAGAAGAAGTGATTAAAAAAAAAATCATTTCTTCCCTCAAATGATCGTTAATTTTACATATATTCACGGGTGATGATTCATTCATTCATGGATGATATTAAAACTCTCGAAAAATTCGAAAAAGAACAAATAAATCAAAAAATTTCCTTTCGATCTCAGTGGGGGAGAAAAGTGATTTTTTTTGGGGGGGAGAAAAGTGAATTTTTTTCATTGAATTTCTCCCATTTATTCTCCATATTTATTTTATTGATAATTGAAAAATAAAAGTAAAAATCGCTCTCACCGCAAGTAACGTTTTTCCAAAATTCAATTTTATATAATTTATTCGCCTCCTAGTGTATATCCCAGCCTTCAAGTCACTAGGAAAATAAAAAATAATTACTCTTTCCCCACCCCCACATACCCCCAATTTAAAAAATCCCACCCGACAATTATTATGCCCTTACCTTTCTTCACTCGAAAAATAATTGAACTAACCATTTCGCGCGTAAAAATGCCGCCACAAGATGGCGCCACCGACAAATGCAGTTTCGGTCGATAAGCCCCGCACCATTAAATATATTTATAAAAAAAAATCCTCCCGGGTCCCCAAAAGGCCCTTCCCCCCTCAATCATCACCGCAAAGTCATTTTCCCTTGAATCCACCAGAAATTCATCCCCCGAGACAAAAAAAAATTGAAAAAATCCCCAGACATTTCGTTGACATTCACAACCGAATCCTCGGCGTTTCTAAAAAAAAAACAAATCAACAGTTGTTTACTCACACCTCCGTTATCATCGGCACAAAATTCATACGAAAAATTCGTCCTGACGAGGATCGGACGGAAAAATAAAGGGAAATTTTCGCGTTTTTCCGACGCATCGGTTTGTCGCTCACATGTGTACGTGACCAGCGTCTGTTCAATATAACCGTCAATTCCCAAAATCGCGAATAAACAATCTATAGTGGTTCGTTGTACCGCGAAGTTTTTTGTTCATCAAATTGTTTGAACAAATATTGTGACAATAGTATCGATGCATTCGATACTAGAGATTAACGAAATGTGCTCTGTACGTTTTGACGCTCACGACCTCAAGGCATAACCTATAACACTCCATTGACAACACTCGAACAATTGCAAAACGATAATTAATTAACGGTTTATGTGAATCAATTGTTGTGCACAATGGCTCGTGCTATGATCTACAGGGGATCCTCCAGTCTCCTCCAGGTTGATCCACCAGCTGACGAGGTTTGTTGAATTATTTCTTTATGGTTTAGACTAATGACTTTTTTACTCTGTCTTGAAAAAAAAAAACAATAACTTTTCGGTTACTCCAAGGGGATCTGGCATGTACAGAGAGAAATTTTGATGCTTTTTTTTGAGGATACAGTTTTTTTTTGTCCTCCAAATACATGAGAATGTTTGTTGTCTTGATGTCTTGATTTTTGAAACGATTATTTTTATTTTTTTCTCTCTCATTTGGTGTTCGGTGTCTGAAGGAGGTACAGATATTTTGAGGGACTCCTCTTGGAGGGAAAATTGTGGATTTAAAAAATTTTGGGATAAATATTTCTGCATGTCTTTCGGATTTTCTGAGGTTTTTGAAAAACTTTGAGGGATGGAAATTATGTTCTTTGATTTTTTATCCGATTTTTTCTGTCTTTCGGGATATGAAATCGTTGGAGATGAAATACTCGTGTGTAGACTCTTTTTTTCAACTGGGAAAATCATTAAACAGATTAATTATGGCAGTCACCCCCATCGAAAAATTCCAGGATGAATCCAGGCCAATTCCATATACTTCTCAGAATATACAGAGCTTATCTAAAAAGTCTATTAACGGATTTATGAATTATTACATTCTTTACATATTCATAATTATTACATGTCACAAGCAAAGAGACGAATATCTCAGAATCCAAGAAAGATATCGAAATTTTTTTCAGGACTTCTTTCAGACCTTTAATTAAGCCCTCCAAAAAAGGTCTCTACAAAAATTTCGCTGCCCCCCTAAGATTCCAAGATATTCCTCCAAATCTTCGAATGAACTCAACAAAATTAATTGCTCTCGAATTGCTCGCTGCTGATGCATTTCAAGTACTCAAAACCCATTCCCTATTTTCTATATTTTCATTAACCCATGATGAAAAGAATTGTTTTTCGATGGGGGCTGTCCTCCCCTCCCCTGATGAACCGCTGAAACCTCAAGGTATTCCTTAAAATCCTGTTGCCGTAATAGGTGGACCCTTTGGAGCTGCCGATAAAATTGGAGCCAAGCAGTCCAGAGCCCGAGACGCCGGCAGACCCAGAGGACAGAGTGCGCACACCTCCACCCTCGACGAGTCTCCCATCACCCCGGAGAGATGCCCCATCACCCCAAGAGCCACCAGACTACGACTCATCGGCAAGTTCACTCGTACATTCCCAAAATCCAACCAAAAAGCCACCTAAACGAAGTCACAAGTACGGACACTCCCAAAAACTAGCTCAATTTCTCCTGAACAACAGGAGTGAACTCCAAAACAGTAGACTCCGTACTAGATCCACTCACACCCCATTATTCTACGAATGTCAAGTGTGTTATGTACAGTACAACGATCGAGGTGCTCTCACAAGACACATGAATCAATTTAAATTCGGTTCTAAAAAACGTATAGTCTGTCACGTGTGTAGAATATCCCTAGCCACTCCCCATCAGTTGCTCTCCCACAGGAAATCGGCGCACCGTCACATCGCCTGGCCGCATTCACCTTATAAATGCCACCACTGTCCCCTCACCTACACCCATAAAATGCCCCTACAGATGCACTTGTTCCATTACCACGACATGGAGAACAATGAAAAATTGAAGAAACGTCGTGGAGTGGAGCAATCGGTAGTGAGTGATAATGAGATACAACCAAGGAGATCAGCACGTAAACGAAAGAGAGCCCGTTTGGTGCGCAATCGCAGGGATCTGTGTATTCCCAAGGCCACCAAGCCAGGGCCTACATCCTCAAAGACTGGAAGATCCACCCAGATCACCAAAGTAATTCCCTCGACAAACTCAACGAAACCCTCCACGAGTGCGCCTTTCGTCCAAATTCATGCAGTCCCTCAGGAAGTTGAGGCACTCCTCAGTGACTACGAGACGAGTCCCATGAAAAGACGAAGACTTGATCCCCAGGAAGTGTCGATGGACGTCGAGACAAGGTGCTTGAGGTCGGGGCGAACTGTCAAGATACCTGTAGCTGAATCCAGTGACATTCAGGAGCCAGACCCAAAGACTGAACCAAAACAGAAGAGAGTTTCTACACCCGGAAGAAAAGCCTCTTTACCTCAGACTCCGAAGAACGGAACCCCGATGGTTCTAGCCACTAGGAAAATTACACTTCTGCAGATGAAATACAATTGTCGGGATTGTTATGTACCCTTAAGTAGGATTAACGTTCCCGAAGGTCTTGAAGTAAGTGAGACTGAGATGAATCAGTTGGAGGATACATCCAGTGAGATGCCTCACGATGTATCGTCTATTGATCTCCAACTTAAGAATCTCGAGATCGCTCTGAAGAAGCTGGAGGCACCCGACGTACTCACTGACCGGCCACCAGGAAAAATTGAGAGACTCGAGATATTCAGGTCCAGTATCTGTCGCACCAGATTCACCACAAAACAGAAGCTGATTAATCATTACTTGTGCTTTCACACTAATGCAAGTCAGGATGAGTGCGGAGTATGCCGGATACGGTGTGGTAATTACAGGAAATTGAAGAATCACTTGCTGCTCCACTGTGTCAAGATTATTCAGTCTAAACAGGATCGTTCACCCATTGATCCTAGAGGGCCGTGTGAAAAATACCGAAAAAAGTATTTCTGCACAGGTTGTAAAAAACGATTCTGGCTGGCATCCTGTCTGGCACAGCATCAGAGTCTCTGCAGACTCGCACCGTCGTATGCACCCCAGGAGAATCCACAGGACATTCCCCAGAAAAACGTTCATGACAATACCCGGGAGACTGCGCAAGATGATACTCAAGAGAATCTCCAAGAAACTCCTCAGGAAGCTCACCAGGAGATCCCAGTGCCTGAGGTAAACGAGCCAATAATGACGAGGCGGACATCTCCAAGAAAACATGACAAAAGAGTGAATTTAATGCAGTCACCCACGATTATCCAGACTGCCAAGACTGTCAAGCCTGCTAAAACACCTAAGACTCCGAAGAGTGATGCCCAGAAGACTCATCGTCAGAAGAATAGTTCAGTGAGAATCGAGGCACGGAGTACCCAAGACTCTCGAAAACAATCCCCAGGACAGGGACCAGTTCCGGAGAAACGTTGGTGGGACACCAGAGTGCCCTATGGAGTTCCAGCCCATCCCTGTTCCATCTGCAATATTAATTTCCAAGCAGCTGCAGGTCTCTCACGCCATGTGAAGATGTACAATCAGCGGGACTTCAGCCGTTGCGAAATCTGTGGTACTCTATTCCCATCGAGAAATCTTCTCTACAGCCACAGAAAAACGGCGCACTGCCCTGAGGCGTCAGATGCAAGAATTCAGTGTCCAGTTTGCGAACAGGCATTCGCCAAGAAGACAGGTCTTCGTGCCCACCTGTTGCACGTCCATCACGATCAAATCATCAGGAACATCGATGAATTCATTGAGCCAACAGTTGGTTACGAGATGAAGTGCAAAATTTGTAAACTCATATTTCAGAGTCGTAGGAGATTCATCGAGCACAGTATGTACTATTTCGACGATGAGACGTATAGCTGTCACATATGTGATAAAAAATTCTGGGGTAAATTCAGGTGTCATTTTCACTGGAAAATCGAGCACTACTCTAAGGAGATGCAGCAGGCCTATACCCATCACTGTCCAGTGTGCAGTGAGGGTTTCATGTATCAATCTCACTTGCACTCTCACATGTTTCACGTTCACGATTTAGCCAGTGATTCAGCTATAAATGGTGGACACTCAGTGAATACCGAGGATCCATTTGTTTGTGCAACTTGTGAGCAGAGATTTGCCAGTATTGTTTTGCTTGATCAGCACCAGAATCTTCACTCGAATGATGGAAAATACCAGTGTGACAAGTGCGGTAGAAAGTGCAGATCAGTATCGATACTTGAAGAGCACCTGAGGGCGTCACACTCAAATCGTGTACTGCCCCAGGGCAAGTGCCCTATCTGCGGCGAAGGAATATCCTCGAAGACCTCATGGATATCCCACATAAAACACGCTCATGACAATCCAACGAATCAGCCCTCAGAGTTCTGTCTGGAGAACGTCTGCACTCTTAATGAATTGATAAGAGACTCGGGGGAGGACATTAATCTCAACAGATCAGGTGATCAGAGCTCTCCTGGTCCTGACGAGGACGTTGTCCTTTTGGATGAGGACGACGTGGGCCTTCCAGAGGTTCAGACTGTCAATATTGAGTTTAATTGCGCAATATGCGACGAGAGATTCACATCGATGCTCGAATTGAAGAGCCACAAGATCACTCATGGACCAGTTACGTACGGATATCAACCGGAAGAGAACTATCAAGTGCCAAAAATATCTGTCAACGAGGTGGCACCCCAGCCACTGGAGACTGTTAATCTTCCCAGTATTCACCCGCAGGACAACAGTGGCTACAGTTATCACACTGACAAAGACCCGTGCAACTTCTCCATCGCGAATATCTACTCAGTTGGTCTCGACGAGTACGAGAAACTGGCGAACAATCAACCCGAGGAGAACGAGACGATTGAACCTGAGGATAATGCGATCACCGAGAATATCCTCAAGTGCGAGGTCTGCCAGCTTGTATTCACCTGCGCAAAAACCCTCCAGAATCACCTGATAAGATACTCCAACACTGGTGATTACATCTGCGAGGTCTGCGGCAGGAGATTCAAGTGGTCGAGGGTATTTCGTTCGCACATAAGAAAACACCACAAGAGAAGGAACAATGCAACACCGATGTACTACTGCGAGCAGTGCGACGAGGCGTTTGCAACGAAAAATTCCAAACACATGCACTTCGCTCATATTCATAATGATCTGAATGTCAGGTTGACTGACGACGATATGGCAGATATTGATGGGAAAACTGGCAGGGAGAGTCCAGTGGAGAGGGACGAGATCCAGGAGGGAATCGATACGAAGAGCGTTGAAGAGGTTGACTTGACTGAGGACGAGGAAGAGGCTAGTGAACCACCGACGGCGAAGAATCTTGTTCCAATGAATTCAGTGGTACCTCTCAGTGCTGCTATCAAGCCAACTGTTGCTCAGGCCAGGGTACAACCAACTGCTCATCGTCCAAGTCAGGTTGCTGCATCAATTTGTCCAATTATCTGCAATATCTGTCACATACAGTGCAGGGACGTTGATTATCTTGTTAATCACTTCGAGACAGCTCACAGCATTCGTCTCGCTCCCTATAAACCTAGTGCCCAAATTCCCTATAATTCCAGTATTCAGGGTGAGTGTCAGAGCAATCAGGATAGTCTCAAGAATCATTTGGCTTGGCAGGTGAATTCTAAAAATGATTCTGATCCATCAACTCTCTTTTATTACTGCAAAACGTGCAGAATTCAATTTGCTAATGAATATTCACTGCTCACTCATCTGCGAAATGCTCACGCTAAAACTGAAAGTTTACCAGGAAAACATGATAATTGGAGTAATGATGGTGCCCATAGTGGGGGGCACAGGGAAAATATAGTGGCTAAGGGTCAGCAGTCAACAGGCGGTGTTTCTATTGAAACTTCTTTTATTAGTAGTGAGAGGCATCGATCTGCTGGTGATTCAGCTGGGGATAATGCCATGGATCTGACGAAAAAGAGGAACGATGCTGTTGTCTTATCGAAGATTGATTTAAAGGGGGCTGACAGGCCTTATCGCATTCTTGGGGGGAAGAATCCACAGAATATTCAATTCATTAGTCTTCAGAGGAAGGACCTTGTTAGTTTGACGAGACAGAGATTGCAGGAGAGCAAGAGTCCTCAGGGGAGTAGCATTCGTTGAGTGCGAACATTTTTTTTTTTTTCAAATTTTTTTTCCCGTTCTACAACCATTATTAATTGTACTCTTACTTTTTTTTTCTGTACTCGTAATTAGATAGGGTCAGGTGGGCTAGTACAATTTTTATTCTTTGGGAGGATGTTTTTTTTATCTGGGGAGAAGCGACCGCAGGGACACTTTTGACAGATGGATATTTTTTATCCAGTGTCTGGGGCTTACAGACCCGGTAATTGATTCGGATATTCTTCCGTAGGATAAGGACTCGTTTGTATGATGCCTGTACTGGACTACGATATTTCGATGTATAATGATGTTCCAATTACTGATTTCTTTATCATTTTTATTTTCGATTTTTTTCAGTCGTTCAAATTGTTATAAATCATAATAAATAATTATTGCCAATATAAAGGAGAGAATTATTTATTCACATTTGAGAGAAAATTTGGGATAGGTGGTGGAGGGAATAATCTGGGTCGGAGCAATGATGATGGGGAGTAATGATCTCTTCAAATCAATATGTCTGAATTATACTCTTTCATTGTGAAAAAAAAATTTACCCACCGAGACTCAACCTTTCGGTGCGATAAGTGGGGAGGTAAAACTTCTGCTATTCATCACCATCATCCCTCCCTTCCACCCCATACCGAGATAAGTTGCCTACTTACCACTATCTTTTGAAAACTTATTATAGACTCGCCCTTTCTCCTATTTCACCGGAAATAATGGGAACCATTCGCGAATAATCATCTTCTGGAACATTCGCAATTTGACGCCAACCAGGATCACCAACATCCTCACTCAGATGTATTGCGTCATTAAATTTGTTCTCGGTGATAGGGCATTATTACTCGTGACAGGGGTAAAGAAAAACATCAGTCATCGTGTGATTAATGATAATAAGTTGTCGAGGAAGTTCAATAATTCGGATTATTTTGGGGGAGTAGAAAGAAAATCGTAATCAAAATATATTTAAACAGCTATTGATTATGTTTAAATATAATATATACAAAAAATTTATTGTCCACACAATAAAGATATTGGAATATATTTTTTGTAGATTATGTTTTTATATAGTCCTATTAGGATTTTTATTTCACTTCCTAATTTTTTATTTAAAAAAATGATATCCGGTGGAACAGTGATAAAAAATTGAAAAATTGAAAAATTATTTTTAAATCGAAAATTTATTTTCGCTGAGGATTTATTTACTGGAGAAATAAATATGATTATTATCGCACCTTAATCATAAAAAATTCATATTTCTCTCGAGTAAATAGATTTCGAACAGAAATCTTTTTTTTTTCTCGGTGTAACGATTTTTTTAAAATAAATCGATTAGATTACTGCACTTTACGCGATTATTTATAATTTTTTTTATATATTCCCGTGGAGAAATAGATAGACTGGTGGAAAAAATACATTGACACCCTTGAAACGTGTCCCTTGGCACTCGACAGTAAATCATGATCTTGCACTCCTCCCAAGAATTACACCGACTAGACACGAATTTTCACTACGTTCACTTCCCATTGGTTGTTCTGCCGTTACGACATTGGAGTTTCAACTCGTAAAGTTGGTCTAATCGTATTACGAAAGGACTCGCGACCACCAGTGCATTTTCTTTTACTATTTCATCCTCGGAGCATCTTTATACCCTCAGTAGCACCCCAATGTACAAAATGGTTGAAACGATATCTGGCCTTTTAAACTCTTTCTCTATGTAAATTAAATCCACTCGTTTCAACTTGTCTTTCTCTCTTGAATACCTGAAAGTTTTTAAATGAGAAATGACTTTGTGAGGAAAAAAAAGTAACAATTATGTCACGTCCTCTTGTATTTTCATAGTTCCACTTGGAGTTTTAAATTTTCGAGAATAAGATAATCCAATTTAATCCAACATGAATAAAGGGAGGGGAATGTCTCGTTGTCGTGTTACCGGGCACCAGTTGGCCATTTATTTCATTTTTTACTACTTTTTTTTTTCTATTCCCCGAGTTTTTTCTTTCAGTCGGTCTTAGCCTCCAGACATGTCAGCCTGAATATCGGGTTTTCTCCTGTGGGAGAGGGCGATATATCCACGTATTCACGGGAGTCCTGGTCCATTTGTTTTGGGGCCTGGGGGCTCCGAGAGGTGAGTATACTGTAAATACGGAGTGGGCAGTGGGTGGATGTGGGACTCGTGTAGGTGAGACTCTGGGGTTCAGTGGATGCGGTAAGTACGGACCATTTAAATTTACTAGGGCCATCAGGGGCAATTGCTTGATTATTAGAAGGCAATTGGTTAATTGTTCATTACGCTCTTGTTGGATTGGAGTTTATTGGGTGAATAAATATTTCAGCCGACGGCGGGAATTTGGCGGAATTTTTGTTTCCCTGCGGCTAGAAGAAATACTTGACTTTTTCACTTTAGTCAGAAAATGATATATCAAATTTTATTGACTTTGTAATTAATTAAAAATTCATTGGTTACCTGAGTTCCTTGAATTTCGAAACTCATGATTTATAATTCTATTAGAACTTTGTTAATTAAAATCATAAAAATTTGTATGGATTAGTCGGTGTGAAAATTCCAACTTTGAGTTCTCAAAATTAAATCTGGATTTGACCGTCGAGTCGTCGGGGCTCTGTATAATAAATTAATTCCTTCGAACCATTCCCAGGCAAACAAATACTCAAACTCCTCCCATCAATTTTGAAAATCTAATATTAAATTCAATTGATTTTGTAATCAATAAAAAATGAATCGACGATTTGAGTTCCTGAAATTTTCATCAAAACCCTTATGACTCGGCAGTTGGAAAAATTTGAAATTTGAGCTCTGAAGATTAATTCTGGATCTGCCTCTTCAGAACACCGAATAATTAATTAATTCGACGAGTCACTGATGTTCCGTTGGACCTTTTAATCATCCCTCCATCCGTTAATTTCTGTTGAAATCAGGTGAGATGGTCTATTGGCTCAATATAGAGAGAAACTGGAGGATGTTGGCACACAGAATGAGGAGGGGAGCTCGATTTTGCGCACAAAGGCACGTGGAATGAACAGCTTGGGTGGTACCTTTGGGTACACACAGCTAAACTGGGTGGGATGCGACTGGCAAGTACCTTCAGGATAGAACTGAGGATCAAACTGTATGAAGCCTTGGGATCTCCATCACAAACACGGTTTGTCCTTGTCAGCCAATATCCTGGGCTACTGGCGGTGCGAAGCCAAAGTTAGAAACTATGTTCAATGAGATTACCATATACTAAGCTAAACGAGAGGTCCTTGACGGCACTGGAAATCGAATTCTAAATTGGATACCCTGTGCTCACTACTCCAAATTCTTTCACGGATCGTCAATGGCCATTCCACTAATTCACACCAGTTCAACATACTATTTTATTCGATATACGTACTGAGAGAAAAATTATGCCTGCCGAAGATCCATTTACTTGAGAGTCGATTGTATTTTGGGAAAAATTTACGTCTGCAATTGAGTCATTCTTAGATGATTCTGATTAACTTACGATTATCATCTTTATATTGCTTTAGAGGATCGTTATGTGGGATATGTTTTTGGATAAACTCCACTGATTATTTATTTTCTTTAAATACACGCGCAATTGTTCTGATGGAACTCTGAATTGTTTCATTGGAGTTGTCTCTCCGATGAATCCAATTTTTTTCTCCCGGTGCACATCTAGATGAAAGGCCAAAGCAGAACGGCTTAGACTTCCTTTCACCGAGACAACTCAAGTCTCTCTGAGATTTCCAACTTTGAGATATCAGTACTTCAGCACTCTGATTACCCGTGGCAGCACGCAATTTTCCTCCTGGCAGAATAGAGAAAAAATATGGTTTTCGGGGAAATTGTTGGGATGAGATGTGGAGTGCTGGTTTCTAATATCCAGTTGCTTTCACTTCGAGTATCACGCAACTTTACAAGTTTCCAGTTGAGGGGAAAATAATGCATCATTAGGATCATATTACGTGGGGATAATGCCGTAATGTTCCGAAACTGGTGTATCTGAAAATGGGGGGTCTTGCTGTATCGATCGGGGGGAAAGTTTTAAGGATGTGTTCTCAAACTCTCGTTTGTTGAAGTTTAGGTACTGCTCGGCGCACGTTTCGTAACATCAACGAAATTCTTTGGAAGGCATTCCGTCGTTTTCACTTCTACATTGCGTTATTTTCCGTCATTCTGAGTCTGAACCACACATTTGTGGCGTCAACAGAAATTAATAACCGGTCATTAATTAAATTTCAATAAGACATCTACTGAACTCCATTTTTATTTATTCCAAATATAATTGATATTCATTATTGCTGAACTTTTTTGAAATTCAATAAAAATGTCTAGAATACCATAAATTGGATTAAATTGGATAAATTTATGAAAAATTATGGAAAATTAACAGTGTTGTCTTTCTTTTTCAGTTTTCTTGATTTTTCAAGTTAAAATAATTGAATCAAGATGTTCAATAAATTTTTTCAGGTGAGAATTTAAAACGGAAATTCTCGTACAAAATTCATGTATTCACTTAGTGAATTTTTTTTTTTCGGTGTATTCGATAAATTTGCGAATTTTCTCGCGGTGTTTTTTTTTATTCATAGGTGGGGTTAAAAAATCGCCGAGGGAAATTACACTTTCAAATAGCATCATCATGGGTTTCACGTCGGCAAAGGGAGCACTTTCCTCTAAGAGTCTGCGGTACACGTGAATTTCAGCCGGAAATCCTCAGCTGTGGAAATATTAAAGCCAGGGAGACTACAGGGGGATGAGAAGCTCTTGACCTTATTGAATGGAGAGAAACTATATGTATTTATCAATGGATATTGCACTGGCTATTCCCATATCAACAAATCAGGTGGGCCAAGTGGTGCAGGTGTAATTTTCGTCAGGGACAGGGTGGGTGACACTCGGGGAGTGTTTCAACATGGGACAGATTTTCGAGTGAGTGCCAGTTACTCGCAAGAAGGACTATAAACGTACAAACGTTCTGGACTATAAAACTTAACGACATCCGGGAATAAGGTGGCCGATTTTTCTTCGGGTGAATAGCTGAGGATTCGATTTGAGAGAACGACGTTATTTTTTTACTCATCCGGGGGTAGATTCAAATTTTAGATTGAAATGAGGAAATCCACTGATCGTTATTACGTTTATCTGTTTCCGCACCGCATCCAATCGATTTTTTCATAGTCCGCATGAGATTCATTGAAATATTGAAGAAAATTTTACGTTTCACTTCAATTATTTGCAAATTTGTTTAAAAAATATCATTTTCAAGGAATTCTTTTACAGTCAATTGGATGACGATTTTTATATTTTATTTTACGCGGGGATTATTCAAATTTTATTACTCAATTGTTTTTATTTGAAGGAAAGAATCGATGATCAAT